TGGGGTAATTAGAGTGAGTGGAGTTTGGGATGTGGTGAACGTGCCAGCCCTTGGCCAATGTGCTATCGTCGTTGTACTCGGAACCTCGCCAGGCTTGTCCCAGTTGTGAGTGCTGAAACCCTAAACCTTAAACCCTAAATCCATAAAAACCCATCCGGAATGGCGCCTCATGGCCCTGGCATCGCAAGAGCCAGGGCCCTGGTGTCCAGATCGTTCTGAAAGACCCTCAAGAAGCAATCTGAGAGGGCCAGGGTTTAGGGGCGTAGGGTTTCAAGGGGTTAGGGAAATAGCCCAATTTTTGCCCATCAAACTTGTCGGTTGGGGCTTGGGGGACTAGGGGCATCCATCCAATGCCCTGATAATATAGGGGCCTTAATAATTACCTATACTAGTTTGGGGTTCCTTATTATAGTTATACTATAATGGGCCCCAAAACCTTATTCCGTTTATTAAGGCATTACGGCCCCTATATAATCACAGGACTCAGCCCAGTTTACCTCGGCACGATGCAATGTCAATATGCCCCAGATCCCACCCTAGTTGTTCGGCCCCGCTTTTGAAGCCTGCTTTGTAGTAGTAGTAGTAGTAGTAGTAGTAGTAGTAGTAGTGGTGTAGGTAACCTTTAGCCTTCTTGGGGTTGCTATCGCCACTATAAAGAAAGTACCCAAAGTCAACCTTTAGCTCTTCTGGCGTAGTGGACCAGTAATGCCTCTCTGTAACCCTAAACCGTAAGCCCGTCCAGCCCTTATAGTAAACTTTATAGAGCCCTTAAAGGGACCCCTAAACTCCCTAAACCTTCCGAAACATCCCAGCCCGCACCTTCAGAGTGGCAGTCATCAGGTTTTGTGCATGGATCAGCCCTTCGCCAAGATCGTTGGTAGAAAGCTAGGGCTCCCTTCGGCAGACCTTGGCAACAAGGATCCTTTAAAATTGGGTTTGTAAATTGGCTCCTGCTTCTCTGAAGCCCTCCATTTATTCTGGTGACTCAGACTCTGTCCGATTGATTGTTGAGTTGTTCGAAACGCGTATTCCCTATCATTGTGTGGAGAGACGTCCACGAAAGTAATCCCATGAAATCACTGCTTGCTGTGTGCTGGCTTCAAGTGCATGTCATGTATTGTTTTGAAGGCCCTCAATCCCAAAGTAAACCCTGAGTCTAATCACTCTTGTTAGACTACATATAGCCAGGGTCGATTAGGCACACTAGGTCGGCCCCTTTTTGAAGTAAAACCCCCTAAGCTCGTTATAGAACCCCCTTTTGGAGCTTCATAGAGCCCTTGTAGATCCTTGAGACAACCCGTTCCAGGACACCTTTTTTGTAGCCCCTTTCAGGTGGCTGAGGGCACTCGACGATCTTCGGCAACGTTTCGACCAAGTCTCTGCCAATGCTTGGGCCTTGGGTTCAGGGTTTAGGGACCCCGGGCGAAGTGGAAAGCCTGTTGCAAAAGGGTTCCGAAGATCTGACAAGGCCGTTGCAAAAAGGGTTTCGGAGCTTTTTTTCTGAGACCTTCGTTTCCTGGATTCAGGGGGCTCTTGTTTTCAGGGGTACCAGGCAATCGCAATAGGCCTGGATGCAACAGGGAACTCTTTTTAAGCCTCAGGAACACATGCCCAGGAAACAATGAGAAAGGGAAGGTGCAGAACAAAGCATGCTTTCTTATCATTAAATTACGTAGTACTAGTACTACTACTACTACTACTACTACTACTACTACTACTACTACAGTTATTAGTAGTATGCCATCAAAAGCCCACCTTTTTTTTGTCCTTCGTGTATTGCACTGTGGCCGGTCATAGAATGAGGCGACCTACTTTGGATTGCGAAAGTCGTAGCCGCTTGGTGTTGAACTCGAGACTACATTGCAGGAAGGTTCTCTCAACTGGCCTTTACATACAGCTTGGCGGCTCGCAACGGCATGTTGCATGGTAGTCAAGCAAGAATCTGATGATTTCATTGTGGTTTTAGGGCGGGAGAAAACCATGACGACCCTGCATTGACCGACATGGGCTTCGTTCATGTGCTTTTCGCCGGGAGATTGGGGTCTGCAGCGAAGATGTCTTCACTCATGTTGCCTTCCTGGCTTTCGAACCAAACCATGGAGACTTGACGCTGGTGTTCTGTATACTATAGGGGCCTAAACACTTACCTAGATTATTTTGTTTATTTTGGGGGTTCCTTATTATAAGTATAGTATTATGGGCCCCAGAACCCAGTTCTAATTGTTAAGGCCCCTATATTACTTCAGACACTCGTCCCGAAATCCCGATAGCCTATCCCCTGTACGCCAGACCTTCAAGCTCGTACAAGTAGAAGTAGTAGCCCCATAACGAATCATAAACCTAATTAATAAAGCTGCTTCACATTCAGTATAACCCCGAGAGCTCCGTGAGTTCAACAGGTTGCCATCGCAGCGTGCAGTCGGGCAGGCAACTGGCCGTGCTCGCTGGCCGTCTACCAGGCTAGGCAAACCCTAAACCCTAAACCCTAAACCCGAGCTAGGTTGACAGGGGTCGAGATAGTCGGGCTTTAGGGGTGTTGAACGGACTCTAAGGTAAATAGCATGGGCCCCTAAAGTGGACCCCTGAGCCGTTGAGGGGGGTTGTAGGGACCTTTTAATAAAGAAGGGTATATAGTAAGTAGGTATATAAGGATCCCAGGGTTAAGGGCCCATACTTGGGGCCCTTGGTTCCAACCTTAGATGTGCGCATCGGGGCTTAAATTCGAGGATGTTTGTGGCTCAGATGTTCATGGTCTATGCAGCAACACAAGACCCCCACGCTTTTGCGTGGGACCACCTCTAGAATCTATGATGTGACTGCTTGGCTTAGTGTGTAGGTTTGGATGTGGTAGTGGCCATGTGTTCCCTTTCCCCAGCTCTAAGCATTAGGAAAGTCGAAACCCTGAACTTCGAGTGCTGGCTTGTTGCGACAGGAGTTTTGATTGCGTTTGTGACTTGATGCGCCTTGCTCTGCAATATTGTGCTTCAATGATTGGAAACCCTGTTTTTGCAGGTGCTCTGAACCTCAAAACCTCGGAGAACCTAAACTTGCCCGAATTGCTACTTGTACCCAGAGGGTCCAAGTACTAGTATAGTCTATACTTTTGGGGCCCAAATACCTACTAAGTACCTACTATAAGGGTACTTGGACCCTTTGGGGTAGTCCCTTTGGGGTAGTTATGTGACGCCCCTCACCTGAAACTCTTTCACGCACCTGCTCAAGTGTCAGACGCCAGACGCTGTCATTCGCATTGAAGGCATCGCAGTCATTGCCCGCGGACAACTCATCTCATCAAGGCGCAGCCGAAACGCCCTCACTCGCCGCATTCAGATCCAGGGGCAGCTTCCAACAACCGTCGCACCTCGACCCTCTGGTGTAAACCCTTGTCTTGGTCACCTCATCTTCCTGTTGCACCCGCACCATCAAAGCAAACTATCCAACACAAGCTACTCTAGTCCAGGGTGTATAAAGTGGGGTTTCCGAAAATAGGGGACCCTAATATAGTACCCTAAATAGTAGGGTCCTTATTACAAGGACCTCTAAATAAGGTGCCCCTTATTTTCGGAAACTACCAAATTGACCCCATGCCAGCAGGAGATCTACGCCCGCCGCCTAGCAGATGTTGTCACCTTCAATGCAGCTGCAGCCTCAGTTGGAGCTGCAGCCTGGCGCACCTTCATGTCGAAGTTCTGAAATTCGGGTTCTCCTTTTCGTCCCCATTATGATGCTCCGTAGCCTAAACTTCGAGAGCCCTATACTGGCTCTTAGAGTCTTTAACCCTCTAGGACCCTGGAACCTAAACCCTAGACCCTAAACTCCTAAACCCCTAAGCTTTATAATCTAGTACCCTCCAAACCGGAAATTCGTGTGGGCTAGGACCTCCCAAATCATGGGTTCATCCCTGAACTCTACAGAGGGTTTTCGGTTTACGGTTACCTTGGGTTTGGGGGTCGTTTGCTTCCTCAAGTCCTGCGTTGCATTATTGGGTCGGCCAGGTGTGAGATTCAGAGCCCCGGAACCCTCCTCCATGACTACCCCGAGCCAGTACATTATCCAGGGGTCCTTAGCAAATCGAACAATAAGGCTTGACGGAAATTAATTATGTACAAACTTGCACAGGGATTCTGTAGGAGTCTTAGATTTATAGACTATGGAGGATGATGCTACCATTTATGAGTTCAAGCTTTAACTAAAGTACGTCAGACTATTTGATGCAGGTTCTGAGCGCCTGCGACAGGGCCGGGCAATGGCACAGGCGGCAATGCAATGTTCTGTCGTTTGTAGGAGCCTTCTAGGCAATAGACATTGCGGGCGCCACCACGATACCAGCTATTCGTACTGCGCGTGCATGCGTGGATGTCAACATTACACCGACATATACATACCTATCTACGTGCAACGATATATGTATGTATATATATGTCTGTATATATGCATCTAACATCTGTTTACATATCTATATATATATATATGTATGTATATGTATATGTATATGTATATGCACATACAGACTCACCACAATGGTTCACACACGCATGCACTACTTTGCGTTGCGTAACATTAGCTTACATTACATACACACGGTATATGCAACTTGTGTTATATCCTCATTGGCTTCTGTACTTCACGTACTTATGATGGTACCAGACACAGCTCGAGGCTTAAATTCATCCTAGCCAACGTTTGTGAACGTAGGGTGGTCATAGTAGTTGGTATTCGCACTATGAAGCTTCTTTGTTCCTTCGAGATGGAATGGACGTGCAGGCATTCTATAGATCCTAAGCCTACGCCCTACACCCAAAACCACTAAACCCTGGTTCGAGGTTCCTCGTTACACCCTAAAGCAACCATCCTAAATCCGGGGTCTTGGTCAGGGTGTTACGGTGGATGGTATAAATCTTGCATTGGCCATAATAAGGAATATAACAGCATTCCATAGTTTAGGTCCTTAAGGTGATGCATGAATTTTATTATCAACAGTACTTACTGCTTGACTGCCGAGGGTTTTAAGGTCTTTCTTGCCAATGAGTGTTGAATTTGGGGCAGATACTATGAGGCGCTTAAACCCTAAACCCTAAAACCCTCAACCCGCAGACCCCAAAACCCTAAACCCCCTAAACCCTTAAACCGTAAACCGTCGGTGGCATCGGCAGAAGCTCAAGACTTCACGGTGCTGAGGTACAGGAGCAACAAAGCCCCAAAGGCCCATGCAGGACCAGAGACATAGATCATTTCATCCACTACAGGTTTAGGGTTCTAAGGTTTGGGGTTTAGGGCTTATGGGATTTAGGGTTCCGCAGCCTAAACTTAGACAACAACCCTGAGAGCCTTACAGCCCAGACACCCTACAACCCGAAACCTCGAACTCCCTGTGACCTTCATCGTGGTTCAGGGTGCGAGTCCTCCAGCAGCAAATGGAGGCTGCCAGCATCCTCCCCGACCTGGTCACATACAACACGACGCGTGGCGGGTAACTATAGCAGAGAGCTGTTTCAAGCTGTTGGGTTGGCACGGTGCGGCATCTTTCTCAATTGTCGGCTACAATTCCATAATTACCCTAAACCCTAAATGCTCTTTATCATATGTATTTAAGCCTTATTTCAATCATTGCAAAATGATTTTTCGGGGGCCTCCACCCCATTCATTGCAAAATGATTGTTTTGGGCTCCGCCGCCCCCCAAATTCATGTCAACATGATTTTTTTGGGGCTCCCCCATAATTCATTTGCAAAGTGACTTTTCTGGGCTCCCCACCACAGCAAAACGATGTTTGCGGGTGCCTCCCCGCCCTTCATTCATCAAGAGGCTCCCCCACCACGCAATGCAAAAGGATTTGTCGGTGCCTACCTTGCAATTTTTGTTTTTCGCCCCTTCCCTCGCATTCTTTGCAAAATGATTTTTTGGGCTACCCCTCCCCCCTCAATCATTCATTGCAATTTTGTTTTATCGGGGGCCTCCCCCGTCCCATTCATTGCAGAAGGAGTTGTTTGGGCTCCGCCCTTCTGGGCTGTTAATCTAAGACAATCAAAAATGTTCGTTTGAATTCCAAAGGTTCAGAACTAAGCCTTAATAGTAAGACGTTTCATTTCTAACGTTGAGGGTTCCTGGGCGGGTGGCTTCTTTCCCATAGTGAAAGCTCGACTAGAAACTGCTCGATCCGGAGCTGCTGAACTCTAAAACCTGAACCCTAAACTCTAGACTCTAAACCCTAAACCCTGAACTCTAAAAGGGGAACTCTAAACCGAGTTACTGAGCCCGAAGACCCTCGACAATCTCAAAAGCCCCGGGACCTTCTAGCCCAGAGCTTCAATTTGATTTCGTCTAGAAGAGCTCAAAGAAAGAGTTTAGGGTTTTAGGTTAGGCTTTAGGGGTTGAGGTCCAGGCGAAGTGCGAAGCCTGTTGCAAAAAGGGTTTCAGGTCCTCAACATTGGCCGGGCGAGCTCTAATCAAGCCTGTGTAAAAAAAGATCCTCAACCCCAAAGCCGTAACCCGCAAAACATCGTCAGGGCCATCGGAAGCTGTGGCCGGACTGCCAGCTGGACACGAGCACTGCATCTCATCACCGAAATAGGCCGCCGTGCTGAGAACTTGCGTACCCTGCGCCCCCCCAAACGGATATACGTATGATACAAGTATATGCATTTTACAAGGATATCTCCACCATTTAGGAAATTCTATGGGGATTTAGATGGGCCCTACTTGCCAGGAGACTCTAAGGACTCTCACCCCACGGGCTTCAGATCAGCGACCATGGTGTGAAAAGGTTTTGCAATCTGACTCGAGAAGTGTGTAGAATAACAGCCTTGAGTACTAGGTTTTGGGCCATTCTGTTTTGGGGGTTTGGGTTTCGGGGCGCAACCGAAAACCATTATCTAAGCCTAAAGAGCTCTGAACCCGACGACGCTAAAGCCTTAAACCGTGACATCTGAAGACTCACAGTCCCAAGCCCTCATTCTTGACCCCCGGCTCTAACACGTCTAAGCTTTGATCCCTCATGTGGAAGCCAGATCAAGGAATTCTGTCTTCGATTTTGGGCATGTTGCTCGTAATGCGCAGTTGATATGGCCCGCAACTTGATCCAGAATCTCTGCTTGGCACCCTCACAATATCTCAGATGTGAAGCCGCAAGTCAACACGGAAAATCTCTGTGCGTCATGGCCCCGAACGGATTGCCCTGAACGGATTGTCAAGCTTTGTGAGTACCCATAGGCCATAGGCCCCAAAGTAGTTCCTTTTGGGGTTCATATATAGAATCCTATAAGGTAACCCCAAAAAGGAACTACTTTCGGGCCCACGGGTAGAGCCCGAGTTTCGGGCTGCTCGGGGACGTCCTGCTTCAGCTGTCCAGGGCAGGAAGACCTTCAGCCGGACCTGATCACGTTCAATACGAGCATCAGCGTTTGTGAGACGCTTGCTTGAAAGCCCACAAACCCAAAGAATGCCCTCGATTCTTGCGACGGCCCACATCATGAAGTTATTTTTGTTTTGCCTTAAGCTCTACTTGCCCAAAGGGTCCAAAGTACTAATATGGTAGCTACTTTGTAGGTATTCGGGCCCCAAAGTATATACTATACTATACCTTGGACCCTTGGGGTTACGAAACCCTGAACCCTGAACCTACAGGCTGCAGCACTTAGCTCTACACCCCCAACCTACCGGGCTTCATGATCTTTCACCCGACAAGCCTTTAAAGATAAGGAGTCCGCCACTGCGGTTGGACTCGGCTTTCCCAAGGCTTGCAGATTGTTGGAGAAAGAACAATGAGTCCTTAGTCTAGGGGTTTAGGGTTTAGGGTTTAGGCTTCTAATGCAATGCGTAGTCCAGGTGTAAAAGGGTTAGAAGCATGTGCCCCCAGGGTGTGAACATGTTCTCATGTCCCCTATAAACCCGGAGCCCCATTCTTGTCCAAAACACGGAGCCCGAAGGTCTTTTCATGCGTTAGTCCCCGAAGTTTGATACCGACACTTTACTACCCACAACATGGGGGCCGTAGCAGCTGGATTAGGGTTTTGAGGTATATTCTGCTACGACTACACTACGCAACCCTAGTAAAGACTATATCAATCATCAGCAACCTAGTAGTTGTCAGACGTCTACATTAATCCTTAAGGCTGAAACCCTAAACCGGCTCATGTTTCAAGGCCAGGGAGTGAAAGGTTGCTGGATGATCATGGAATCATGGATTCGTTGCCCCTGAGCCCTAAGCCCGAAGTCTCCATTGTATTTCCTTTTCGGGGTTACCTTATAGGATCCTTAGTATAAGAATGGTTAAACCAAAAAGGAACTACAATAGAGAGACTGTAGGTAAACCCTAAGTGCACACCCTACTCTGAGTATGAGCCCGGATTCTGGGTAGCTGGCCCCCGCCCCCATGGTATTCCCCTCCGCTCTGACCCACCCTCCCCGACAGACAACAGTCACACAGATAGGGCCATGATCCTCGTGACAGTCCTCGTCTTCCGAGGATGAATGAACCTTTCAACAGTCGCTGGGATTAGGCCCTTTGGTGTCACGTTTCCCCTGACTCTCGCAAGTTTTCGACATGCGGGGCAACTTCTCATCTTGAACATGGTATAAGTACCTGTCACGTAATCGTGATTTGCATGATAGTCGTTGCTATTGTGGGGGAAGGTTGCAAAACACTGTTCGCGCCGGAACAGAACCTGCCACCCAAACCGTAGGAGGAGGTCCCGGGTGTCAATGCAGTGTTCCGCGAGTGCACCAGAGCGACGGCTATAGCACGGTTTAGGGTTTAGGGTTTAGGGTTTAGGGTTTAGGGTTTAGGCGAAAAAAGCTACCTCTAGGGTAGTAACAATCGCAACAAGGAGGACAATAAAACTACTGACACATAGCTGTAAGCATACATCTGTAGCTTAGCAGCCAAGCCAATGTAAGTACCCCATGCACAGCATGCGACCAGTCAACCAAGAATGCAGCTTCTGCTTGGTGGCATGCTTGGGCAAACACAACACTTATACTTAAGCTTGGAGAGAGGAGAGAGGGTCGATATTGCTGCCTATCCTAACAAATGGCGAACATCACAGGCACCACTGCCACCCCACAGGGAGCGGGGAGACAAAGAAGTCGAGAGACCAGGAGCCTAAGCAAGACCACAGGCACCACACCACACAGGGGGCTGAGGTCCGGCATCGTATATAGGGCTTATGGGGCTCAGGTGTGGGATTTGTAGCGGGCTTTACAGCTCTCCCTCCCCCCTAAACCCTAGACCCTAAANNNAACCCTAAACCCTAAACCGTCTGTACATGAAACTGTGGAACCATACAACAACTGGTACCGCAGCCGCGGGCCACAAGTACTCCTCAACTGAATCCCCTCAGAGCCCTTAAACCCTAAACCCTAA